CCCAAGTACTGTAAACTTTCTCACTCACTCGAACAGCCACAAACGACATAAGCTACCTTGTGAGTCCCACATTAACATCTACCGCGTCAAAGCTGACGAATAAATGAATACCGGTGATTGCCTACAATTCTCGCGCCAGAACGGAAAACTGATACATTTATTCAGAAAAAATCAAACTCACTGGAATACTATAAAGGGCGTACTCCATCCGTTTCGGATGAGCCACAAACCAAAAGCGTAGGCGATAGCGAAGTTTACCACAACGAAACTGTTCGACAGCGCTAGGGACAGCGCCTGCCATAGGCCTGAATTTGTTGTAAATATATTTCTCCCTTTAAAACAATTTTTAGCATTCTTTAATGTTGAATTTCTTAATGAGTCTTTTCTACCAATGCCTTTATCAACAACGTTGTAAAGCGCCTTGAAACACACGAAGAAGGGCCGTACTGCTCAAAGACAGTGATTACGATAATTTGTTGTCGATCAATCGTGGGAGTAGAGGTGCGGCAGTGACCGAATAGATTGCCACAAATCAGGGAACTGGATTCTCATTCCGCTTTCTGACTTCAGACGAGTTTCACGGCTTAGATGCACACCGCTTGGGTGAGGAGGACACGATTGCAAGCTGCGGCCGTTGATGGTAAATGCGCTTACACATCGTATAATAATCGCAAACCCGCATGAGAGCACTGCGGTTTTTAGGTTTTGAGCTTGACTGCATGATAACTAGCGCGCTTCTCGCCATGCATACCCTACATGCCGCTTCCTTTGGTACTTGAATACCGCTCCTACCCTATTGGTGCACTTGGCCTGGCGCAGGACCTCTTCCTCTTCTTCATTTGGGTTGAATATTGCGCGCAACATCAAGTTGACCAGAAGAAATGGATCCCGGTACTCAATTTGTTGGATAAGAATGTCCAGAGACGAACGTACGAGGAGAAGACGCCCCGGAATTCGGGTACTGGAGTGGGCAGGAGAAATTCTGGTGCGGAGGAATGTTGCAATGGCTATGAATATCTATATATCTAAAGAGTGACCCGTGCTGGTATGAAAGATACTGATTAATTGGTACAAGCATTTCATACATACGTATATCTAAGGAGCAATAATTCGTATGCCAAATTTTTCGAAGTATTAGGTTGTCCCATAATTAGTGAATCACTTTGGGTATTTTTGAATTCAATTTTTTTCTTTTTCATATGGAGTCTCTTGCTCATCCAAACATACATCCCTGTCATCTACAATGTATTGCCTATACAGGGAAATTTTGTCGCTGTCTTATCTCTAGAAATCCAGGAGCTATTGATCGAAGAAAGATCGGAAGTCGAGTTTGAGGTCATGTCACTTAGCGTAAAATTCCTCCTGGGGAAGAGCGCTAGAGGTCAAACTGAGTTGCCTCTTGTTGGCACGAGGATAGGGCCACACAGAGGAAGTGGAAGATCGGCTAGCTTGAGAGTCTCTAATTTTTTATGAATATTCTCCGCAAGGTGGGTCGAACGACCTCAGGAAAAAAGCAGACTTTGTCTTGCTTTACTTTCAAATTGAATGCGCCGCCATTACGCTGTAGATGTTGATCTTCTTCAGTGACTCTAGTATTACTAGGCGGCGGTTCCCAGCGCATGGTCACTCTCGTGCTCCACCAATATCTCTGAAGGGTCGGACTAGAATGAGGTTTGGCTTTTGCTATCAGAACTCCCGAATCGTTCACGCTGGGCTACTGCTCCTCGGAGATTTGCTAGTACACTTCACGCAGTCCAGAACCCTGGTGAATAAGCTGGATGATCACTGTAAGGAACTAAGGGAGATCAGAAGGAACATGACGATGTCAGATCGTGTGCGGAGCTGTTTCGAGCTCAAAGCACACGAGATACAAATTAAATATTTTAAAATCGTTACAACTCTACGTAGATGTCTACATTCCATTATTTTAACAAGTCGGGCATGCTCTAGCAAAAGGCGGCTAGTTCGTCCATATTCACGCTTAGTGGCGCTGGGTATAGCACTGAGATTGCCAGTTGAGGGGTAGTTGGAGTGTGGGTCATCTTCAACTAAAAAAGCCAACCTCTCGATAGAGTGAACTATAAGCAGACCGTGGAGTGAGGGAGCGTGCCCTTGCCTATCTGCTGGTCGATTCTCTATATTGTTGGGCGTTTGAAAGATCTTAATCAGAAGTGATTAAGAAGGGGAGCTCAAAAATAGGTTCCAGAAAAATTGAAATGTCAGCCACGGAAGGCAGCATGGAAATGGGCTGAGTAATTGCTCAAGTAGGACAATGTGGATGCTACTTCGCAAAACATGTTTCACGCCTTCACCAATTTTCTTGGATTTTTAATAACGATAAATGTAAAGTGATTCACTAATTATGGGACAACCTAATACTTGGTTTGGACATCAGATTGACACCGCAGGTCACGGTATGGGCCGCATGTATACAACCAAAGCCCAAATTTTGATTGAAAAAACATTGGACGAGGCATTCCGAAGAGGTGCATAGACAATACCCACGCTGCCCCTTTCTATTACCGAGCTCACCTCGTACAAGAGCCCTTTTATGAGGTTCCTGTGCTGCAGCACAGTATGCTTCGTACATGTAGCCCTCCTTACAGAGTGCTTGGATCGTTCGTGTGTTCGAAATTGATTCCCGTCACTATCTGAATGAATAATCATCTTTTTCGAAAACACTCCACGAATTAATCTCGCCAATCAAAGAGTAATTCGCTTCTGCTTGAGGTTCCGAGACTTTACCCACTTTTATCAGGCTAGGCGCTTCTTAAAGCGCCGATTCCTCAAATGCCTCGAAAAGGCGATTTTGCCGAAATATAAGCGATTAAACTTGATATTGCTCTTGACGGTTCGAGCAGTAGCAATCGGACCACCTTCCTCTCAAAGGGGTACTAAAATTCCAAAGAATTTGTACCTGGATCTCCATATCTCTCTGTCCTCTGAACTTTAGATATTGAGCAACAGACGATTGAGCGAAGACTGAATAGACAACTCTACACAGAGGTCGTCGTTCTCTGACTTGCCAATAATTTTGAAAAAGTCGTGGCTCAGTGGGATGGCCGATTACAGAATATTCAGGCTGGCGAGACTTTTCCTAGTGGCGCTTCATTTCTTTTCTAGTTCTAAATAACGATTCAGCCGTCGCTCACCGATGTTGCATTGAACGAACGGAAACTTATAATTGTAGCTTAGCAAATTGTGGATTAGGATTGGATTATTGAGAAGTGAAGCCTTCTCTGCCCACCTCCCCCATTATTTTCAAGGTTGTGGTTTATTAATGGAGAAGAGCCACCAGAGACCAGATAGCCTTATCAAGTGTTGCAGTCTTCAGTAGAATCACTCACCTAATAGAAGAGCAGTGGCTAAGCCAATGGGAGCGACGTTCCAGCCGTAGGAAAACGCAACGACAATTCCAGCCACCAAAGCACAAACACCTTGCAACACCTCTGCGAGCCGTTGATCGATCGCCTATACAGTAACTTATCAGATATGATCATAATTTTTACGAAATGTCACGGCTACATATTAGCAAATAGTAAGTAAAGGCAAAACCAAGGCGTAAGTCGAATTATTGAGTCCTCACAGTCTGTAGGATGGACCCCAGGTGAGAACAGCGGATGTGGCAGTCCCGTGCATGGGAATCGCCTGACAAGTTCGTCAGGGCCTTGCAAAGGCAGCTTCAACTGCTTCAGTTTTTTGCGACTGCAGCAGGCGCCTCTCATCTGCTGCACTCTCTCACCTCATACTCTCCTCTCCGCGCTCAGTCTCTCATTGCCTTAGCACAGCTGCATTCGAAAGTGAGGAAGCCCTTAATTGAGGAGCTTGCCGCAGAAACTTTTCCTTTTTTCCCTTCAATGCCGGCCCATTTCGGATCAATTCTTTCAAAGAGATCACCGCACCAACTTGACTGCGGACAGCGTTTTTGAATTAACGCGATCTAGTGAGTAGTGTCAATCCTAGTCTGATTATTCTTGTCATAAATTCTCAACGAGGTTGAAAAGTCCTTACAGCTTGCACATTCGGTGTGTCCGAAGCGAGATGAGCTGTCAAATTTCCTGTGTTGTGGTTTGGATCGTCAAAATAGGAAGCATCCTGGCGCATAATGTTCTGCAATCATACATAGATTATGTTACATTTCCAACGTGGCATAGAAATAATGAGCATATAAAATATTTTCGACGTTATCTAAAGTTGAGCATTACTTCAAACACCATTAAAGGACGAATTCACGATGAAAAAGCAACCCATTTCAAATTAACCTAGGGATGGTGAGTGGTACACGAAAGAAGGAAGAACCATGAGAAACGGCCCAGAACCCGAGAAATGGGACCCCTTCCTTGCCCGTTGATTTGAGCATTGATGCGACTCTCATCGCTGTGCCCTCTTCAACACTACGCTCTCTCTCTCAGCTATCTAATCACTCGCCACGTATTGAACTACGGCGAGTGATCAGATGATCGGTGGGCGGAGATCGCCGGACCCGCCAGCTTTGAGGCATGATAGGTCGCCGAGGTCAAATTTTTCCATGCGAATTGCGCGTCAGTTCGCACCCTCAGGAGGTCCGTGGGTCCCTCAACTAGGTCAGTTTCCCTTTCTTCGACCTTCATTCTAATCGTGAATTCCTCCTTTAAGGAAATCTTTAAATTAGTACACCTTTTCCTGCGAAACCACAATTAGTTGACCAGCCTTGGGGGGCCTCCTATCAAACCAGAAAAATTTGTTTGACGTAAAAAATGTAATCTACTCAGGGGAAGTGTTGCTACTAGCTCCACGCCAGTTTTCTTCCCCCTATCTTTTCCTTAATTCGCCTTTAGCTATTCTGGCACCATCCCTCACTTCTAATACGAACCTTTTTTTGATAAGAATTTCGGTGTAATTTGTATTATAATTGGGCAGGGACATATGCAGTGAATGCGACACGCTCTCCGGTTTTCTGAACTCAATTCGGCAAGTTCCTAAGAATGTTGTCAATTCATAGGAATGAGGGTAGGGCGAGTTTCATGTGTACGAAAAGCTGAGAAGCGCGAATTTCACAGTTTCTGAATAAGAAAGGAGCAGACGAGAAATTAGGATTTAGGAATTTTGCTTCAAATGCCAAAGGGCGACAATTGTATGCGTAGTAATTGTTGAATGGAGCTATACAAGGGTCTACGCACTATCAGAGTAATATTATACTTCCATTTGAGCTGCTCTCAAATGTGAAAGCCTCACACTTGTGCGAAATTATTGTCTCACCTTGAATACATCCATTCGCAGTCGCATTGCCATCTTTTCACCTGTGATACCGAACAGTGATCCAGAGGCGAAAGTGGTGAGACCGGAACCAATGGCGAGCAGTAGGAAAGAAGATCGAATTGAGGATGTTACCACTGGCAAGCGCCTCTGGATCCGGATTCGATAGCAACTACAATGGAGTAATTGGTAATAAATACTTGGAAGTGATAGATGGTTCGACGTAGAATAAAAAAATTCGAAATGTAGAGGGCTAATTCAACCGAATAATTTTGCTGAACCATGAACTGTAACTTGTATGGTGTTGGTCAGGAGACTCAGCGGTAGCTTCCTCACGCACACACACTTTTTTTTTGAAAAACATCGTGATGTTGCTCTAAGCGTCGTTTAACCCTTTGACTACTGGTGGGACACATGTGTCCCACTTCCGTAGTCAAAGACACTACCACAGTTTCAGGAAATATTGAGACAGGAGCGCCCATTTGATGGCTGAATTGTGCAATATATAAGGAAATCCATCACGAGAAAACGAAGCTGATCAAATTCCTTGTTCCTCTTTCTCAGCAAATGATTGCGCAGGGGAGGGAAAGGACGGCTAACAGGCGCAAGCCCGGCATGGGGAGGCCACCAAAAATTTCAGGAGGATCATCAACGTTGGGGACCATATGCCACTACAGTTAAAAACGCGTCGGCGATGTAGATACTGCGCGATGTCAAAGAAAGAAACTCGTACAAAAATAATGTGTGCTGCTTGCAACGTGCCCTTGTGTATATCATGTTTTACTCCGTACCATTCATAGACCATATGTTGACCTTTTCAAACTTTTTTTGTAAAATTTTCGGGTCATTGAAGACTTCAATATTGTAACGAATGTGTGGTTGCAAACGCTTATTAAATTGTCATGGTTGCAAACGCTTCGTATA